CATTAGCTATCGCTGAAAGCATGACCGAACTACGCCACCTCGAGCTTCTGGGGAACAGACTAACTGGCACTGGGTTGAAGGCCATTCTTGATAAATGTCCTCACCTGGAGCACCTTGATTTGCGTATGTGTATGAACATTAACCTTTCCGGGGATTTGGAGAAGCGATGTGTGGAGAGGATTAAAGATTTGAGACGCCCCAGTGACGCCACCGCTGATTATCCATATTATGATGCGTTTGTCGATACTGATTCAGATGATGACTCCGGCCATATATGCAATTGAGGATGACTGATTCTGAACGACGACTATTATCGGTGCTAGAAATTGTATCACAGAGATGTTGTTTTGCTGGTCTTGTCAATATCAGTGGCTACTGAATATGACTTATGAACTCGTTTGTGTCCTCTTTTTTTTTCCCCTCTGTTTGTGGTTTGTGTTTGTTGCTATTTCTTTGAACTTTTAACTTTAAGAAGCTTTGAGCCCTTTTTAAGCAACTACATTAATTATGGGATTATTCGAACGATGTTTAGAGAGGATCAAAGATTTGAGCAACTCAATGACTAGTAACTGAATTATGACTGATTACATTATTAGATCAGAATCTTCATGAACAAGAAGGAACCACCTACGGCAGGGTATGAGTAAGTTATTGGGCCGATGGAAGGGTTGGGATTTTCTTTGAATATATAAGTCCCGGACAGTTTTCCTAAATACGTAATACTTAGAGGACTAAATTGTAAGTTAGACACAGAAACCGAAAGGTCCGAAAGTTAACTTCAGAGACAGAAGTGGAAAGGTCTGAAACTAAAAAACTTGACTCACTATTGTTTATAAATATATCAGCGATGTGACGTTCATTTTTCTTCATCAGAAAATGGCTTCTTCCTCTTCCATGCCTCCTCCTCCGCTGGTGAAAGACGAACAGTCGAGAAACTGGTCGGAGCTTCCGCCGGAGTTGACATCTTCGATCATGCTCCGGCTTGGTGCGTTTGAGATACTTGAAAACGCTCAGAAAGTGTGCAGACCGTGGCAACGTGTCTCTAAGGACCCCTCGTTGTGGCGGAAAATCAGCACCGATTCTCTCCTCAATTACATCGCCGACAGGTTCTCTCTGCTCCTAAATGTTTCATGGAAATCTCTGTATATATGTTTTATTAGAATAGTGGTGTCGATTTAAAAAATGTATTTCCAATATTTTTGATAAATGGATTTTTTGTTTTGTTTATCACTTGATAAGCTGCATAATTTATCTTGTCTCTTTCCATCAACTGGATCTGCCAAAAAAATGCAATTTTGGATATTGAGTTTCTCTTACTTTGGAATGTATGCCTTTGCAAATTCGAGATTCTAAGATTGTTACATGCTTATGAGTTGATATCAGTACTATGAATTTTAAAAGAAGTATTCTTGCTTTTCGTAGTTTATGATTTAACTCCTCGTGGAATTATTTGCAGGTCAAGTAATCTGAGAAGCCTTGGACTTGAAATGTCCTATCCAATGACTAGCAATGGACTTGTTAACGCAGTCGCAAAACTTCCACTCCTTGAAGTCCTCGAGCTCTATGAGACATGGCAAAACCTGGACTTGAAAGCTATAGGCCATTCTTGCCTGAAGCTAAAGACATTGAAGCTAAACTGCTCAGGTTCCATGCCCTCTCAGTTCAAATCTGATGATGATGATGCCCTAGCAATCGCCAAAAGCATGCCCGAGCTAAGCCACCTTCGGCTTATTGCGAACAGACTAACTGAGACCGGGTTAAACGCTATTCTTGACAACTGTCTTCACCTGGAACACCTTGATTTACGCTGCTGTCTCAACATTAACCTTTCAAGGGATCTGGAGAAGCGATGTTTGGAGAGGGTCAAAGATTTTAGACGCCCAAATGATTCAACCGCTGATTATCCATATTCTGCCATTTTTTACAGTTCAGATGAAGACTTGGAGTTGGACTATATTGATGACTTCGAATATGATTTCTCAAGTGACGATGACTATTATGGTTACGAGAAATTGAATCTTTCTAAACGATGCAGGGACATGTTGTTTTGCTGGTCTTGTCAAGATCAGTGGCTAGTAGTGTTTTTTTTTTTTTATCGTAGCTAGTAGTGGTTATGTCTTTCGTGTCATTTTCGTAGTTTCGTGTGTCACTGTTTCTTTTGAACTTTTTTTTGTTGGTCAGAATATTTCTTATAAATTTTTATGAAGCTTTTGAGCCCCATTTTAAGCTGGTACATGTTTTTTAAAAAAACTAACAGAAAACATAGCAGGATTATTTAAAATTAAAGAACTGATCACGTTATTGTATTTAGGTCTAACAATTTAATCTTAAGGAGGTAGAGTTTAACAATTATATGGTTTCTTAGTTCTTATACATGAGTAATGAGTAGATTTAAACTATTTTGTGAAGTTAAAAGATTTTTAGATGATTTTTTTTTTATATATAAAATTTTGATTATTGTTCATATTACGTGTATGAATAATTTTATGGATGATTATGGATTGAAGCCCAAGACGTAAATTTAGTGGGCTTATAATACCTTTATATCCCGAACTAGTTTTGTAAATATGTAATAATCTGAGGGCCATAGTATAATTTAGTGACGGTTACGTAAAGTTCTGTGACTACCACTTAACTCTCTTATTAAATGGATTTGACCATTAGTCGCCAGAAAATATGGCTTCTTCCATTTCTCCGTTGGGGATGTTTTCATCGGTTTCTCCTCCGCCGTCGTCGTCTTCGTCTCTTCTCAGGCGATGGAAGTAGACGAATACAGAAAATGGGCGGAGCTTCCGCCGGAACTGACATCATCGATCCTTCTCCGCCTCGGCGCGATTGAGATACTCGAGAACGCTCAGAAAGTTTGCAGATCGTGGCGTCGCGTTTGTAAAGACCCATCGATGTGGAGGAGAATCGACATGCATAACCTCGGAGATTCAGGAAGCATGGAGTACGACCTCGATATCATGTGTCGTCACGCAGTTGATCGTAGCGAGGGAGGCTTGATTGCGATCGACATTTGGTCCTTCGGTACTGATGATCTCCTTGATTACATCGCACAAAGGTTCTATTTCTCTCTCCCTTTGACTCAAAATCATGCGAATTTTGGGTTTATTCAAGGAAATTGTTTTGGATGTTAGGTTGATTTTGATTTGATTTCACTCTGTTGTATAGGGTTAGTACAGATTTTTTGGTTGAGGAATGATCTTCGTAGTCTTAGTGATTAGAAATGCCTTTTGTTTCAACACTATTGTTTACTTATTTGAAGATTTTGTGTCGCTCTTTAAGTCTCTGATGAATGCACTTTTGGATTTTGAGTTACTCTTACTTGGGAATATGAATGCATTGCAACTTAGAAGTCAATATGTTGAATCAGTGGTTTACTTTTGTTATTGAAGTGTTCTCATTAGTGTTGAATGTTTTGTTTTCTTCTACATTGTCTCAGTTTAGATTAAGGCAAAGTTTATTGTTTGGGGTTTGTGACTGTTAATCTCTTGCTCTTCCATTTTGGAGTAGAGAAATGTCCACTTTGATTCTGAGGATGTTATGCTTCTGAAGTCCAGATTGTTGGCTTCAGGTTCTTGTGGTTAGGAAACGATCTTTTCTTTGTGTAATTATATATTGAATCTCTGTCGTTCTTCTTTTTACTATCTTAAGGTTTTGTTTTTCATTTTTACACATAATAATTTGCAGGTCAAGTAATCTGAGGAGCCTTAAACTTGCAATGTGCTATTCGATAACAGAGGAGGGATTTGCTGAAGCAGTTGCGAAAGTTCCATCGCTTGAAGAGCTCGAGGTTTCATACTGCCAATTGTCAGAAGAGTCATTGAAAGTTGTAGGCAAGTCTTGTCCAAATCTCAAGACATTGAAGCTAAACTGCGTTGGTTACAGGCTCCCTAGCAACGAGTCTGATGAGGATGCTCTAGCAATCGCTGAAACAATGCCCAGACTTCGACACCTCCAGCTTTTCGGGAACAGATTAACAGACGTCGGCTTAAACGGCATTCTTGACAATTGTCCTAACCTGGAACATCTTGATTTACGCCAGTGTTTCAACGTTAAACTTGCTGGTGATCTGGAGAAGCGGTGTTCCGAGAAGATCAAAGTTGTGAGACGCCCTAATGATTCGACTCTTGATTACCCATATGACGCGACTGTTCAAGATATGGATTCATCTGAAGATGATTACCCTTATGGCTTCTCTGATATCGATCTAATGTCAGGTGATGAGGATTACTATGACCTCTCAGGTGCTAGTGACCTTTCTGACTATGACCAGTATGATTTTTACGATGAACTGCTCTAATAGATGCATCGGATCCGCAGGTGTATCCTTGGGTTATGTAACATCACTAATAATATCTTTCGGTGTTTGTCTTTCTACAAATATCTAAACTCGAAAAAAGTTTCATGGCTTTTGTCATAATCGATTGTATCATCTTGTCCTTTGACTAATTTTTTTTTTTAGTTTACTCTGCAACACTAAAGAAACCAAGTCTTGTGCTTATAGTGAGAATCGTGCCAAGATCAAAAGTCTAACAGAAACATGAATCATTTCGTTGATCCTTAATGCCTTAGCTTTATGTTAAAGAATCTCTGAGAACAAGAATAAGGTTTTTATGTCTGTATT